ATGCACGTCTTCTTTTGGGCCCAACTAATATTACATATATAGATTTTTACCTCCCTAAATGCAACACCTCTCTAAATACACGTGCTAGAGCTGGTCCTGACGACGTGCATTTAGAGAGGTCTGACTGTATATAAAACATGTAATACAAAAATGAAACAATTAGAAAATTCTTCAATTTACAATTCTTTTGGCTTGTTAGGTTCTACTAATTCTAGCGGTTCATAAGATTTTCCTTCCTCATCAAGATGAAATATTTTTATTTCATTCGGCCGAGGTCCTGGGTTAACTATAAAAAATTATATTGATTAACAACTTAGTTTACCGACAATCATTTCACTGAAAAGTAATTCTGGTCATTTGTCGTTAGGATCAGTTTAAAATTAGAAATAAGGTTAGTGCAGTTTTTAAAAAAACCTGTCAGTGAAATAAACTTCTCGGTGATTGATTGTCGATGAAATGACACGGATCCAATTATGCTCTGTTAGTAAAATGGATTTCAATATTATGATTTCGATGAAATGTATTTCAGAAAATGGACTTCAGGAAGTTAACCTGGAACCCTAGAAAGACAGATGATTTTGATTTAGAAGATGGTATTTACGGCGTTTTAACCTTACGTTGTGCCAGAGGTGTTAAATAAACAATATACAATAACAGCAGACTTGGTATTGTTCTGGCTGAGATGCCTTTACGATATTGAATGTGATGAAATGTTAGCTATTCAAATATGTAACGGATTACGTTCTGCGTTTGCTAAAGACACTTCTGAATGCTATATTCAGCTAGTGCACTAGTGTATGGATGCTAATTCTTCTAATAGACCAACTGCATCTGATATCTATAACGAATTAACAAAATGGTATAATATAGTATATAATAGTGCTGAGCAATTACAATATTTCAACATTATCAACTGAATTACCAATTTGTTCTAAAGATCAACTTACAAATAAACTGCTTAACTTTAAAAGCTTTTCTAAACCAAACAATTCATTTATTCACCTGAAAATTGCTAAAGATTTGTGGTAAATTTACTCTAATTATAATATGCAATCCATTAATTATAATATGCAATCCATAAAGTTTTTACTTTTTAATTTTTTAGATTCTACTACACTCGATTTTTCAATTTCTGATCATAATGATAATTCATGTGTGTATTTAATATTTTAATCTCTATTATACAACATAAAAATATTAATTTATCTATTCAAATTTTTTGTCTCTACAGCAAATGATGAACAAATTATACACGTCATTCAACGATGGTTAGGCCTGAACATTTTCAAAAAAAAAAAAAATAAGATATATGTTTTGAATTACTAAAAGAATAATATTCTAATTAAAACTTATATTAGGTTTTTGTTAATAGTGGTTATGTGATAAAAGTAACTTTTGTTCTGATAAAATCTTAGTAAAATTTTGATTTAAATGTTTTTTGGAGTTGCTGCATACAAATTTAACAAACCGTATTGTAGTACTGTAATCTCCTGTGAAGCAATTAATTACTAATCATAATACGCTTATATAATCACAGTTCAGTATAAAACTTCTTAAATTCATACTATATTATATTCATGTAGTCTATATTTTATTTTTTAAAATTTCATTTTTCTTGCAATTATCGTTTACCTCTTATTTATGCTTTTACATTAATTTCTTCTGCGTAATTAAATATGCATCCGATATTATAGAATTCCTCGCATATCGGCCTACGATGTTTCAATAAAGACATGATAAATTTCAGCCGGGGCATCAGAAATTTTGTACTGCACACTTAACACATAGATAATCATTATCTATGATTGTACGTATTCGATTTAATTCGCATATTTTTGCTCTCATTGAACTTTCAACTTAATATTTATGAAAAATAAAATGGACTTAAGGAAATTTAACTAATTTCCAGAGCAGAGCGGAGGAGCTTAAGTCCAGTCAATAACGATAAGTAACAGTAAGAAATTTTCGGTCACAAGACAGATTTCATAAGTCTAATCGATCAAAATCAGGTATTGTTTTTAGAAGTACAGTATGTGATGTATGATGACGTATTAAAAATTTAACTTCTATAACGTATTTAATGAACATATTTTTTCACAATAACTTATGGTTATATGATCTTTATATACCTTATATAATAACGGCAGTAATAAAACAACATTCGCAGTATGGGCCTCTTTAAAAGATATTAAATTTTCTTTTATATTGTAAAAGCAAAATATTTTGGCTAATAAACATAATGTAATAAGTTCTAATAAAGTTAATTCGCGTAAAATAAAAGAAATTAAATTCGCATAAATAATTCGCATAAATAATGATAATAATAATAAACGTACAATTCATGTAACTAATACAAAAAAAAATTGATTAAAAGTGTGATACAGTAAACATAATGTAGTAAGTTTTAATAAAGCCAATTCGCATAAAATTAAAAAACAATTAAATTCGCATAAATAGTGACAATAATAAAACACAATTCATGTAATTATACATTAAACTAAAAAAAATTTCAATATCATATTTTAAGTTAGTAGGTTTATGATGCAACTTTGATAGTTTGTTTGCTAATACGAAGTGGCGCTCCGAAACCCAACGGATCCCGTTTTCCTAGTTTATAAGTCAATAAAACCCCCTGTTTGCTTGATCTTCTTATTACTTTGATAGCGGAAGTCATATTGATCATCAAGTCATAGTTCAGTTTGGTTAATGTGATGTCTGTGTGAGAAATTCGGATGTTAGTTATGGTTTAAAGAAACGATGATAAAATCAACTTATTAATTTACAAAAAAAAATATTAACTTGAATATTTTGTTCGCGGGACTCAGGTCCTGATAAGATCGAATTTTAAAAGATTACACTCTTGAGATTTTATCATCCAACAACATTTGGCTTAAATTGGAACATCTAGTCCTCTAAAAATTGTAAATTAGTAAATTATATATAAATTATGTCTGTCACCAATGAAATTAAAGAAAACTAACTCTAAGATTTTGAAGAGTGAAGGATGGGGGTGTGGATGTGGAGGGTGTAGGCATTGTTGTTGTGAGATATTTATCGGTCTAACATATAATAAAAAAATTCAGATAATTGTATATTAAATGGTTGCTAATGGAGGTTCTATTGACTCTTTTTTAATAACAACATTCCGATCGAAAATTTACAAGAAAAATTTCTACTGTACATATGAATTAATATATTGGCATGTACCAAATGTCTGTGCATTAAAATAAAGATGAAAACACTAAAATATACTGTAAAAGTAAACTGATGTATGCGAAAAATCAAGTCATCAGGCTAACTTTATTAATATGAAAATAAACCACAAGATCAAGATTGAGACCATACCATTTACTTTTGCTCAGTCTTCTATCACACGTAAAGCTTCGTTCACTTATTTTTTTAGTTCTTTTCTTCTCTATGTGATTTATTTTCATTATTCCTATTCATAATTCAGTTTCAAAAATGTAAGTATCAAAGCACAAAATAGAGAAGAATGAAATATCAGATAAATTCATACTTTGAGAGTCAGTAATTTTACAAAATAAATAATTTCATGACAACTTTTTGACCGATATTTCAGCCGAGCATACCTGATAGAAACGATACATATAATGTTCAGGTGGATCTTGTCATTGGCTATTTGAATGCTAATTATGTCAAAATCACCTTTGTCTGGTTTGCATTCTTTGTGAGACCATAATCTCTCTTTCGTCATAATTTTATCTGGCCCATTTTTTCTTTTGCTTGATGCAAACCAGATGTGAACATTCGGAAAAATATATCCTCCTTTTATAATTATTAATAATAAATATGATATATGGTCATTTTTTCTGATTCTCTTCTTAAGCTTATTTACACTTGTGTATTTTGTTTATAGTGTCATACCTGAAATAGAAATTTATTAAAATTGCCTTATTTCAGTATAGTTACATCAGTTGAAGAGAAGATTTCGAATATCAGATAAGTTGTTATTTCAAATTATAAGAGTTGGTTATTAATCAATATTGAGAGTTATTAACCACCAAAAAAGTGAAGAAACGTGCTAACAAAGACAGTCTTTTCGATTAGACTTCAATGTTGCTTCTAATCCACTCATAAATAAATAAATAAATATAATCACCAATCTTAATCGTGATTGGCTGATCAGCTAAACTACACTTCTGGCTAGGGCGTTTAACTACTTTGAAAATCAAATTATAAGTTTAATATATCAAGCTACTAGAACTAGTTCAGTTTAAAGACTGTAGTAAAATATAACTGGTTTAATATATCAAGCTTCTAGAACTAGTTCAGTTTAAATACTGTAGTAAAATATAACTGGTTTAACATGAAGATGTGTCACACTGGTGATGAATGATAATTTTCATAAATTATTATGGAACTCTTGCAGTATAGATGATACCACTAATAAAATGTATTATTAAACAATTGATTTAGAACATACTGCAAAAGATCCATTATTCTTATTGCTAAAAAAAAAATTATATCGATGTTGTATAAGTTTTACTTTCAAACATTTGAATCAGGAAAATCTGCATTGGAGCCTACATCATAATAGAACAACATTAATAATAATTGTTGAAACCATTTGTATACATTTAATAAACTGATTCGAAAAAAAAAAGAATTCTAATGTACAGCAGTTTTACATTTCCAATGAAAGACTTTAATTTCGGAGACTATAAATCTCTTCTAAATGTAATAAACGTAATAAACGTAATAAACTTACTATTCATTCTATTCGTCTCCCTCTGTCTCCCAATCACCAAAACTATCTTTACGGCCTAACAAATGTTTTACCCACTTAAACCTCAAAAAAGCTTTAAGGAAACGCCAATATGCTTTACAAGCTTCTATTGAAGTGCCAAATACGATAAAGATTATTATACCTAATAATGAAATTACATATTCTAAATATGAAGGATTGACAAGGTCATATTCTACCTCCCGGAAGCTAATATACAAATCTCGGCCGTAACTCAAAATAGTAACAGCACAGTATAAAAGAGCAAAAAGGATCAAGCGTAAAACTACATAAATCGGTATTGATGATGTAGTAGAAGTCACAACACTATCAGGATTATTTGGAAAACGAAGATTTGATGTAGCTACACTTGTTGGAGAATTTAGATCGGGATCAAATTCTTGAGTCCCAGCATTTAATTGGTGTTGAGCAGACTTAGCGGATTCTTTATGAGCATGTGAAAGCGCGATAACCTCAATTACGGTTCTCACTTTTTTTTTTACCATGGAAATAAATGTCTGTGATTTAAGAGAAAACTCGATCAAATATTATTGTTAGATCAATAATAAGAACTTACCTGAAAAATAAATCCCGAAAATACTCGTTAAAGTATTCCAACCATCAACACTGACTAATGCCAAAGGTATTGATGGTTTGTAAAACATACAAAAAAATGGACCTGGAGACTTAATTTATCAAATGAAAAAAAAAACATTGACATTTAATCACATTTAATCAGAATGTATAAAATACGTAAATATATGAAATTAATATAAATAACTCACAATTCCATCAGGTCTTTCAGCAATCAAAAATGGAGGAATGACACCAACCAACAAAGGAAAAAGAATACATATTACAACGTAATATCTCCTCCGTTTCCATTCTCCATCAGTTATATTACATACTATACGTCTAAAAATTTCGTAAGAATAAATCAATACTGAAAGACCAGCAGCAATTCCTGATGCATTTATCCATAAAGCCTGAATCCAGCAGAATGTAGAAGGAGCGCGACGTAAATTTGCACCGAATATCCATGCACCAAGAACGTGAGGTATATAAAAAGTAACCATTGATATGCAAAAATAAGCAAAAATTCGGTTGTATTCGAGACGGCCGTAGATTATAGAGAGAGCGATCATTAAGAAGAGAGAAAATGTACATAGAATACCATACGCTAATCCACCTCCGGTAATGTATGGTGTTTGATCGTACGGTCGAGAATCTCTCTTATACATTATTAACTTAGAGTCATGTCCCATTATTCGAATTTTATGTTATCTAAATTAAATTTATTTTGTAAAAATACAAATTATTATCTATAACCGTTACTTATATAAACAAGTTACTACATTAAAAAAACTCGATTAGGGAGGTCATAAGCGAATTTCGATAAATTCATAAATTTAAAAAACGTATAAATGGTTATTGATTCATAAAAGATCAAGTATAGGAGTATAAAAGAAATAAGTCCGTGCTGTACAAGAAAAATTCTAGACATTGTTTTACGTACGATCTTGTCATACGTACGTACCATAAAAAAAGCAAATTGTTTAAGTGTGTCGTAATTTATGCACTGACTATATAATTTGGTTGTTTATTCACTTTTGAAAAAAAAAATTGAAAAAAATTTATTACAGTAGATGGCGTGTCAATCGGTGCTTTATAATGGTTCACTTGTTAGCAATATCATAATTCGGTTTATACAAATAAAAAGATGCCCGAAAATGAAGCCCAAGCATTGTCTAAACAAGAAAGGAGCAGATGGCGAATTACTTTTGTTCAATTAAATCAAGTTATTCTAATAAGCGGGAATACCAGTCACATAATGGAGATGAGCCCAGAAAACTAAAGATTTACATATAATGTGAAAGACGATCGATTTTCTTAGCATTTATGATGCATTGCGATAGTGGAAAATTCTCGTAGTACACAAACTTCCAAATTCGAGAGTTAATTCGTAATACCCTAGCCACGGCGAAAAAAAGTGATGGGGATTTACTTATTTGTATCAGTGATACGAGCAAAGGAAATTATCATAAATATACAGCAATACGTGAAATTGGAGATCTAAGGGTAGTTGTCAGATAAGTAACAATAGTTAAAGAACTCCTTGTACATGCAAATTCGCATTTCATTTTGAATTAGATCTTGCTATTTTTCATTATTGAAACTAATCTTTTTCTTCTATTTATTATTATTATTATTATATAGATTTTTTTAATGATCGGATTAAAACTTCCGTAAGGTTTAGCGATAAGATTTGTTGTTGCAGGATTTGGATCTGGACATTGTTTGAATTTAGGACAGCATGGAAAGGCTCTGTTACTCTCCGTTCCAACCCAATTAATAAGGTAGAAATTAGTAACTTTAAGGGTAGGGTGTCCGTAGATCATTTTTCATATGATCTACGTGGTATATTAAAATTTTACATAGACAGC